CAGCGCGGCGCGCGGCGCTCCCCTCGCGGCCGCCGCCCGCCCACCCTCACGCCTGCCCGCCCGCTCACGCGCCCACCCCTCTGCATCTGCAGGCGAGGTCATCCTGGGGCGCAGCCAGGATGAGCTGGCGGCGCTGATGGCATCCATGGGGCAGCCCACGTACCGCGCCAAGCAGCTGCGGGACGCCGTCATGCAGGCAAGGCTCGGGGGCGGGGCCGGGAGCCGGGTGGGGGGGCTGCACGGCAGCTGCGCTGAGTGCCCCGGGGTGGGGGGTACCGGTGGGGGTTGCGGGCGGGGGACAGCAGGCCAGGCTGCGGATCCACCCCCCGCCCCTCGTGGCAGCCCGCCCCTGATGCCATGCGTGTGACGCGGCCGACGCGGGCGGCGCTTTGGTTGCAGGGCGCACGCAGCGTGCACGACGTGACCACGCTTTCCAAAGACCTGAGGGCCCAGCTGGCGGAGCGGGTGAGGAGCAGGGGGCAGGCGCCGGCCGGGGGCAGGCGCGGGCGCCGGCGCTGTGCTGCTCGCAAGCCTGCCGGCTCGCAGCGTGCGGCCAGCAGCGGACGGCGCCCTCCTGCTGGTGCACCTGGCTGGCCCGGCAGCCACCTGAGGCATGAGAGTGCGGCCCTATTGGGGGCTGCGTTTGTGCCGCCGCTCCGCCGCTCACCCTGCCGCTCACCCTGCCGCTCACGCTGCCGCGCTGCTGCGCTGCTCCCCCCGCAGGGCGTGCGCACGGGCCGCTCGGTGCTGCACCACAGCGTGGCCTCGCCCGACGGCACCCGCAAGTTCCTGCTGCAGCTGGCAGACGGGCGGGTGGTGGAGGCGGTGGGCATCCCCGCAGACGGCGGCGACCGCCGCCGCCTCACTGTCTGCGTCAGCTCCCAGGTGCGCGCGGGGCGCGGCCGCGCGGTACACAGCCGCCTGCCCACCCCTGGTGCCGGGCGGTACTGCCTGTGGTACTGCCCAAATATGGTGGAGTCTGTGTTCTGCTGCGGCCAGCTGGAGGCCCCGCCAGGCCAGAGGGCCACCGCAGGGCAGAGGCGCGAGCCCGCCCGCCTCCCGCCGCCCCCGGCTGCCCACGCATGCCCGCCGCCGCCGCCGCCGCCGCCGCCCCGCCTTCCTCGCCCACGCAGGTCGGCTGCCCCATGCGCTGCACCTTCTGCGCCACCGGCAAGGGCGGCTTTGCCCGCAACCTGCTGCCGCACGAGATTGTGGACCAGGTGCTGACGGTGCAAGAGGAGTTTGGGCAGGTGAGGCGGCGGTGAGATTGGCGGCACCAGGGCGACGCCAGGGCGACCCGCGGCCGCCGCTGCCGTCTGTTGCGCGGGGAGAGGGAAACGGTTGCGCTGCTGCTGCTGCTGCTGCTGCTCGCGGCTCCGGCGCCGCTCACCGGCCAGTCGCCCGCCGTCCCAGCACGCCGCCATACGCCGCACGTTGACACCACACGCGCACGCGCCGCCTGCCCCTGCCCCCGCGTTTCTTTCTTCCCCGCAGCGCGTCAGCAACATTGTGTTCATGGGCATGGGCGAGCCGCTGCTCAACCTGCCCTCGGTGCTGCGCGCCCACGAGATACTCAACAAGGACGTCGGCGTGGGTGGGTGGGTGGGTGGGTGGGTGCCCGCGGCAGGCAGGAGGGCCCTGCCGGGCGGGGTTCAGCGGGAGATGCGGCTGGGCTGGGTGGGCCCAGGTGGCGCCGCTGGGGCTGCTCCGGCTGGGCCAGCAGCCAGCGCCTGGTGCCCTCAGCGCTTGACACTGGGGCCTGTCCCACCCCGCCCTACACGCACACACACCACCACCGCCACGCACAGCAGCAGCAGCACCACCACCACCACAACAACAACACACCACCACCACCCACGCACGTGCGGTACCGCCCCGTACCCGCCCCGCAGGCGCGCGCCACATCACCATCAGCACCGTGGGCGTGCCCAACGCCATCCGCCGCATGGCGCGCCTGCAGCTGCAGTCCACGCTGGCGGTCAGCATCCATGCGCCCAGCCAGGTGGGCTGGGCTGGGCTGGGGGGGCTGGGGGGCCGGGGAGGGGCCCTGCTGCTCGCGGGGCGCCGGGCGAGGCGCATGACAGGCAGCCTGCCTGCAGGGCGCCACCCCTGGCGCTGATGGTGGAACCAGCGCCGGGGTTTCTGGGTGCCCTGGTCGTGTCATGCAAGCGGGCGCCGCCCTTCACCTTCCACCCAGGCATACAACAGCTTACAGCCCCCCAGCCCCTGCCTCCTGCCGCCCCACCCGCCGCCCGCGCGCCCCTGCCACCGCCCCCGCAGGCCCTGCGCGAGACGATTGTGCCCAGCGCTCGGGCCTACCCTCTGGATGCGTTGATGGCAGACTGCCAGGAGTACTTCAGGTGAAAGAAAGGCGGGGAATGAAAGGGAGGCGCTGTACTGCCTGACCAGCCGCCGCCGGCTGGCAGGTCTGCCGGTGCAGCCGGCGGCTGGCAGGTCTGCCGGGCCGGCCGGAGCAGCAGGCTGCTGCATGCCGCGTGGCGGCGAGGCGGCTGCTCCTCCACGGGCTGTGCCGCCTGCTCAGCGACGCGCCGCCGCAACCCTGCCTGCCTGCCTATTGTTGCGCCCTGCGCCCGCAGGCTGAGCGGGCGGCGCGTGACCTTTGAGTACACGCTGCTGGCGGGGGTGAACGATGGGGTGGGTCAAGCGGAGGAGCTGGCGGCGCTGCTGAGGCGCCACGACCTGCGCAGCCACGTCAACCTCATCCCCTGGAACCCCGTGGACGACTCGGGTGCGCGGCGGCGGGAGGAGGGAGGGGCAGGAGCGGGGCGGAGCATGGGCAGCAAAGTAGGGTCAGCGAAACAGGGGCAGAGATGGGGGCGAGCATAGGGGCTGAGATCGGCGGTACGCACGGGGGCAGGGCGCCGATGGTAGGAGTGATGCGCGGCGGCAAATCGGTATGGGGTTGCCGCCGCCTGACGACCCGCCCTCCTGTCCCTCCATCCCCCCCAATGAGCGCCCTGCAGAGTTCCAGCGACCCACCCGGCGCGCGGTGCAGGCGTTTGCGGCGGCGCTGGAGCAGCGCGGCATCCCCGTCAGCGTGCGCCACACGCGGGGCCTGGAGGCGGCCGCCGCCTGCGGCCAGCTGCGCAACCAGCACCAGAAGACGCCGCTGGCGGAGTTTGCTGTGCCTGCCTGAGTGCCTGCCTGCCTGCCGGCCCGGCGCCCCCTCCCTAAACCATTCCTGTAGCGACACAGCACCATGGTAATGTAATAACACACAGGACTGCTCCTGCTGCATCATTCGCCTGCCACAGCCGCAGCCAGGACCTATGCATCGATTACATGAGGCACCATTACATGAGACCAGCGGCGCACTGCCATCCACCATCTCCCCCGCCTGCTGCACTGGCTGGCTCCCTCACTCGGCCGGCAGGGGCAGCACTTTGTAAGGGTTCAAGATGCCTCGCGGGTCGAGTGCCGCCTTGACCTGCCGCATCACCGCCACCGCCGCCGCCGGCTTGCTGTACCCGATGCACCCCGCCTTCATCAGGCCCAGGCCGTGCTCGGCGCTCACGCTGCCGCGGTGCTGCGCGGTTTGGGGTAGTGAGGAAGGAAGAGGCATGCATGAGCTGTGTTGGGCCTAAGGCTGGGGAGGAGAAGGCTGTTGCATGTCACACGGGGCAATGCCTTGGCAAGCGGGGCCTCCCACCTGTGCTGTCCACTCGTACACAAACGGCTCTATCTGCTGCCGCAGCTCCTCGCTGTATGCGGGGGCTGCACGCAGGGGGCGGGGCAGCAGCAGGCAAGGCTGACGGGTGACCGCGACCGCCCACACGAGGGTGCTGCGCTGCGGGTGAGAGCGGTGGGCACGGCACGGCGCACCAGGTGCCTCCCCTTCCGCCTCTTTACCCCCACCGCAACCCGCAGCTGCTGCTGCTGCTGCCTGCCCGGCAGCTGCCTGGCAGCTGGGCCGCACACCTGAGACGTTGAGGTGCAGGTTGCCGTCCCCCAGGTGCCCATACCCCGCCACACGTATGGGCGGCCAGTCTGCCTCACTCCCGGCGGCGCCCCCTTCTCCCCCTCCCTCTTCTCCTCCGCTGCCTCTACTGCGGCTGCTGCTGCTGCTGCTGCTGCTGCTGCTATTGCTGCTGCCGCTGCTGCCGGCCTGCTGCGGGAAGGCGTGTGCCAGGCGGTACCGCATGTCTTCCACCAGGCGGTACATTGCGCCTATGGGCAGGCTGACGTCGTACTTGTAGATGGCGCCTGCGGGGTCAGCATGTGGCAGGCACAGGGGTCACGCTGAGCTACGCTGTGCACACCCAGCAGGGCCGGGCAGGCCAGCGCACGCCGGCCGGCAGCGAAGGGCGGCGGGGCGGTACCGGCGGCAGGGAGGTACCGGCGCGCACCTCGGTGCCGCAGCCCCTCCGTGATCCCTTCCCGCAGGTGCCACATGGCCCGCGCCTGGCCGCCGTCCTGAGCCAGCACGCCGTCTGAACACGGGGAAGAGGAGGGAGGCAGGCGGCCAGGGATATTTAACAACTGCTTCTGGGCGTGATCGCTGCGAGAGAGCAAGAACATGCCGCAAGGCTGGAAGGGGGAGCAGTAGGGTGCGCAGGTTGCTGCGCCAGGTGGCGGCGGCGCCCAGGCCCAGCAGGCAGGCGGCTTGATGGGGTGCTAGGCTGCCGGCTCACCCAGCACCAGCCCCGCCGCCATCACCCCCTCCAGGAAGCCGCCCAGCTTCTCGCCGTCGTGCGCCGCGCTGCTGCCAGACGTCTCCACCAGCACGTACAGCGGCGCCTGCGGGCAGCGGTGGAGGGTGTGGGCAGGGGGTGGGAGGTTCGGGCGGGGTGGGCGAACAAGCAGGGCGACGGTGCTGGCATGGATCAAGCACGGCTCATGCACGCGACGGCTGGGCCACGGCTCGGCTCAGAGGCCCCCGCCGGGCGGTGCGCCGCGCCTGGCAGGAGGGCAGCGGGTCCTTGGCGCCCGGCAGGTGGCGCAGGGTGATCAGCAGCGACTCTCGGTCCAGGAACTCGAAGGCAGACAGCACCTCGCCCAGCTGCTGCTTAGCAGCCACAAACACCTGCGCAGCGGGCATGTCGCGCGGCAGGGCTGCGCTGTGGACGGCGGGTGGGTGGCACGCAGGCGTGCCTCGCTGCTGCGGCAGCTTGGGGGCCCGCACCAGGCGGCAAGGCCGCCACGTGATCGGAACGACGAGCGGCAGGGCCCAGAGCCACGGCAGGCGAGTGGGGTGGGGCGACAGAGGGGCGGGGCACGCCCAGGGGGGCACCATACCTGCTGGGCCGCCTCGAAGCTGGGCACAGCCAGGTAGCACACGTTCACTGCAGGAGGCCACGGGCAAGGCATGAAGGCGCACCGCCAGCAAGCAGCCGCAGCCGATGAGTGTTGCACAGGTGGGTGGCAGGGGGAGCAGCTGCGTGCCCAGTGCAGCGCTCGTAACTGGGGATCACTGCCCAAAACGAGCCCAGGCCCTGCCCCTGCCTGGCTGGCAGCAGCATACAGGCAGAGCCCTCGGCCAGGGCCGCCGCTGCGCGCCCACCTGCCGAGGGGCGGGGCGGGCAGTGGATGGCGACCGCCGTGATGAGACCCAGGGTGCCCTCGCTGCCGATGAAGAGCTGCTTGAGGTCGTACCTGCGCCACCCACACGCGCCGTGTGCACCACCTCAGCACAGGCGATGCGCACCGCACAGCTTCGGGCGTCGCGCTGCCCCGCTGGGCGCAGGCAGGCTGCCGGCGGGGCGGGGCAGCCGTGCACCCACCCGGTGTTGTCCTTGCGGAGCGTAGTCAGCAGGTCCAGCACCGTCCCATCTGCGGCAGGCAGGGCAGGGCAGGGAGGCAGGCAGGCAGGGGTTTTACAATGCTTCGAGTGCTGTGCATGGGGTGCACAAGCAGAGCGAGTGCCTCCCTGCCATCCTGCAAGGTGCAGCCCCCGCCCCCCACACCCGGCTCCCCGATCGTCGCTCTGGCGGTAGCCAGCAGGGCCAGCACCGCTACACCCCCACCACACCTGCCAGTACAGCCTCCACCCCCAGCACGCTGCCGTGCAGCGAGCCGTAGCGCAGCAGGCGCAGGCCGCCTGCAGCCAGCAGCTGGGCTGGAGCAGTTCAGATCAATCCGCAGCCCGCTGCGTCAGGTACAGCCGCCGCTGCCAGGGCGGCGGGCCAGCACAGCTGATGAAAGCGCTGCTCCCGAGCGCCTGCGCTGCCCGCCACCTGCGTTGGTGGCGACGTTGCCGCCGATGTGGCAGCTCCCCTTGGCCCCCAAGTCCAGAGGCATGCAGTACCCATGCTCTGCAAGCGGCAGGCACGAGGGCGGAGGCGGAGGTGGCGGTGGTGGCCCAGGCAGCGTGGGCGACACACGTGCGCACCCCTCTCATGATGCCAACTGAGCGGGCTGGGCGCACGGCCTGCCACCAACCACCAGGCTGAGCGTCGGCACAGGTGCAGGCGCCCCTCACCCGCCACATGGCTGTCCAGGTTCTCCAGGATGCATCCCGCCTGCGCCGTCAGCGCGCCGCTGACCTGCGCCACGGCGCGGCACGGCACAGCGCAGCGGAGGCAGCACCCAGCTGAGCATGCGGCTACCGACGCGCGGCGGCACAAGGCAGGCCGACGCAGTCCGGCAGAGGCGGCAGCAGCAACTAGCTGCAGCGCCGTGCGGGTGCGTGGTAGCCTGCGTCGTGCAGCGCAGCGCACCCACCGCGTCAAAGGCCAGCACTTGGTTCATCGCCGCAGTGCTGAGCACCACCTCATCATAGACAGGCACGCTGCCCCCCACGAGCCCCGTGTTGCCGCCCTGCAGGAGGGAGAGTGCGGGCACGAGGCCAACACCACGCTATCTGAGTGCCGCAGCTGCAGCGCCAGGGTATGCGGGCTTGGCTGGCGGAGGTGTGACGGGCAGGCTGCGGCCAGCAGCAGGAGGGCCTGCCCTGCCTGCGGCACCACCGCCAGGCGCCGCTCGTTGCAGTGCCGCAGCACCGCCGCAGCCTGCTCCCGCGTCTTTGGCTTGAGTGCCACTCGGGCAGCGCCTTCGTATTTTCCCATCCAGTCCCTGCGCTCTCCAGGCAGTGGGGGGTAGCGGCTCACGAACTGGCGGCGCCGGTGGTGGGCGGCGACGAACCCTACTGGCAGGCAGGTCGCCCCCGCTGGGTTTCTGCATCATCCGGCCTGCCAAATCCAAGCAGCTCACTTGTTGAAGGGTGCGAGCTCGTGCGGGTCGGTGACCACCCCGCCAGTGTCCCCAAGCACGCTCTCGAAGAACTGCAGATCGGAGTCTGAGACCACGGAGAATCGAGGATCTCGCTGCGTCACCCCACCGGCCTGTCGCCACTGCTGGAGGGCCACGAGCAGGCGGCCGGCGCGGTGCCGGCCGCCGTTGCACAACATGAGGGCAGGACTGACGTCAAGTAGCCGATCGCGTGCTCAATTGCGCACGATTGGATGATTAGGAGGGCTCAGCAGTGAGGCGGGCAAGTGCCGCCACCAGCAGCGCTATCAGCGGCAGCAGGAGCGGCAGCAAAATTTCTCTTGGAGCTTGCAGTCAGGTGCGGGGGTGCATGATGGATGGTTGTTCTCGCTGCAGTGGGCTGGCAGGTGCAGCGTGGCTTCGATTCTTTCCACTATCCGTGCCTGGGCAGTGCTGCGTCCGCACGGCAATGCCCAGGCCGCCCCCTTCCAGAGCAGATCAAGTGGTGAAAGACCACTCCCATGCATGATGGCTTGAGCCAACATGAGGGTTGCGGCGTTGAAACCATGAATCCCACACGCACCTGCATGTCCAACCGCCCGCATGTGGTAATTCCATTGAGGGCCTTTGACTGCCAGCCCTAACGAGCCCGCTCCAAGCCCTGCCACACCGGTGCGACTCACAGACGTGTTGGGGCTGATCGATGATAAGGCTTTCACGAGAGGTCTGGCGGTCAAAGGCTGTCTCAGAGTTTGAACAACTGTACTGCTGAAGGCTCGTGGGATAGAAGGAGGGCTCCTGCGGCTGTGTTCCCTAGCTGTGGCTTTCCAGGCGCAGCCGCCTGTTGCTGTTCACAATCCCGGACAGTTCACAGCCTGTGGGGAGCCGCGCATTCTGCGGCTGCGCTCCTAGGCAGCGCCCGGCCCGGGAGGCGGCGCGGCGAGTTGGATGGAGGGCGGCAGGCGTGCAGGCATGGAGCAGTGGGCGCCCCTCCGCGCTGAGCAGGTGCCACGGGCTGCCAGGCCGCACGCCCGCTGTTGTGCTGTGCAGCGCTCTTGTCTGTTGTTTGCAGCGTGTGCGGTTGGTATCGAGCATACGCACCCTGTCTTACCGCCCTTTACCCTGCAGTCATGCCCCGACTACGGCTGGTGCGCCCCGCCCGAGGCGGGCCGCACCAGCGGCGCGCCGCTGCACCACCCCGCTCACCTGCCGCCGCAGGAGGCTGAGCTGGCTGAGCTGGCCAGCCGTGCGCTGCGGGTGCTGCTGGGGTCCGACTCGGTGCTGCTGCACGCACAGCTGCGCCTGGCGGTGCTGGGGCGGGGCGAGGCGGCAGATGGCGCCGCCGCCAGCCGCAGGTGCGGGCCGAACGAGCTGGCTTGATGCCGTTTGGAATGCACCTTGTGTGTGCAAGCTACCGAGCTGTAAGGCAGACTCGGCTCGGCGCGTTGCCCACACTGCCAACTCACTCCTCTGCACTTGCTGCCCTCTGCAACTCTGCAGCAAGTGCCTGCTAGAGCTAGCAGTGGCGGGCCTGGTGGAGCAGGGGCTGGTGGTGCGCCAGGGGTATGGGCCCTTTGCCAACCTCTCGGTGAGCGAGTGCTTATATCCGCCCGTCCTGCAGCCTGCCGGCAGGCATCGAGAGCAGGCGATTTGCGTCCAGCACAGCCAGGCAGCTGCCACCGCTCGCCCGCCTGGTTGCCTACCTGCTTGCCCGCCTGCCCTGAGCAGGTGCCGGATGTGGCGCTGCCCAAGGCGGAGGCCCTGGCCTACTCTGAGTTTCCCGATGAGGGCCACCTGGCAAACCTGCACAGCGGCAGGGGCGGCGGCGGCGCGCCGCACCACCGATTGCTGGCCTCCGCCCACCGCCCGGCCTCCTGCCTGACCCGCCTGCGCCGACACTCTTCCCCACGCCAGTTCAGCGGCCGCATGTCAGGTGGAGGCGGGGGCAGGCTGCCGGCCAGTGTGCAGCAGGAGGTGCCGAGACTGGCCAGCTTGCATGCTGCCCTCTGCCTGCTGTCGTGTGGGGCTGGCAGCTACGACCGACTGGTGCTTGCGCTGTGCCTGCTCCCTACTCCCGTTGTTCCACAGGCATCGAGAAGGCGGCAGGGCGGCGTAGCAAGCGCAGCGTGGGCGATGACCTGAGCAGCCAGATGGCAAAAAAGATGCGCATGGGGGAGAATGGAGGCGGCGGGGGCAATGCCGCCCTAAGCAGCAGCCCTTTCAGTGGAGGCTGCATGGCCATGAGCCCGTGAGGCCAGACCGCCGATGGACAGCAACACAGCCTCGAGCCCTGTTAGTGAGTGTACAGCGCGCTTCCTCATGCACCAACCTGTTGCTGCCCTCTGTTCGTTTCCGCTTTTTTCCTGGCAAGCCCAGGCCCTGTATGTTCACAGCTCTTGCGATGGTTTCCTGCGCGCCCTCTCCCTCTGAAGTCAAGCAGCCCGTGCCCTGTACGGGCTTGTACCTCTCTGGATTTCTGCTAGTATGTAACATTCCATGCCTGCCCTCGCCTGCCCAACAAGACGCCAACAGGGAAGGGATTTTGTGTAAGCACTTGAACAACATGTGGGCAACATGGTGACGAACAAGGCGTGCGTGCCGCCTTCACAGGGAGATGTGTGCCAAGGCGAGCTAGGTGCACTCCCATTCCTTGACTTTAGCACCATTGCGCAGGTATTCCTTTTTGTAGGTGCACTGGCGCCCGTCGCAGCACTTGTTCTGGAAGACATTGATCTCCAACTCCTCCCCCTTTCTCCTATCAAACGTGGTCTCCACCAGCTGGCACATCGTGCCCAGCTTCTCACACTGCAGCACACCACGACCCCCCAGGCATAGGTTGGAAAAGGTCCATGTTGACATCAGCAAGCAGCACGGAGGAATCAGGCAACAGAGAGCAATCACGATCCCAGGACAGCAACCCCTGATCCCTGCTGCCTGACAGTCCTGACGGTCAGGCGGGAGGAGCTGAGCGGGCATCAAACGTGGAGCGAGAGGAAGCTGAGGGCCCCAGCAGGCAGCAAACAGTGCAGTCAGTACCCAGTATCCAAGCACCAGTACTCACGCGATCAGGGCGTTCGTAAAGCGCCGCCCCACTGCCCACGCTGAGGGCCACGCTTGGGCCGGGCGCCTCGGCTGGCGCGACAAAGGGCGCTTCGGCTAGGCCGGGGGCGGGAGCCGCCTCCACGGCCTCATCTGCTAGAAGGGCGCGGCTGGAACGAGCCTGCACAGCATATGTGAAAGAGGAAAGCCGGGGACAATGGGCAATGCGTGCATGTTAAGAGGCGTGCTCCAGCGGCAGCACGGGGGGGAAAGGCGCGACAGGCGGGCACTGCTGAGAATTCGTCCCCGCGGCCCGCCCCGCCCACCCCGCTGCCATGTTCAGTCGCCCACACCTCCCGCCTCACCCGTGCGGAGGCAACGAGCGCCAGCAGCAGTATCAGAGAAAGGTTCGGCCAAGCGCATGCCTTCATGGTGGCTTGCAAGCGAGCGGACTGGCAAGAGGTAGCGTTGAATGTGGATTTACTAGGATGGGACGCGGTGCCTAGCGGCTGGGGGAACAGGCTGCGGTACTCCTTGCCACCAGCTGGCTCCCCCTAGGAGCCTGCTGGCCTGCAGGGCCTGCAGGCGGCGCTGAAGCAGGAACACTGTGGACCCATTCGCCTCTTCCCTCTCTCCAGGGGGCGAGGCTGTATTCATTACATCAAGCCTAGATGCACTAGATCAGAACAATATGACGCTCTGCAGCCTCAGTGCGTGCCGGGGCCTTCAGGTTGCGCTGCCACCGCCGCCGGATCCGGACGTGCATGCACAATAGCAGTGCGCACCGCTATTGTTGCAGCTGCCGCGGCGGCTTGGAGGGAGAGAACTGATCCCAGGGCCGCCGATGCCGCTTCTGCTGCAGCACCTGCCAAGCTCTGCTGCTGCTGGCGCCCCTCCAGTGCCCTCGCCAGGGCACGGCAGCAGTCAGCCAGCGGTGCCAGCTGTGAAGCGGCCCGCTGCCAATCTGCTCCACAAGCAGGCTGAACATTCATTCAATTCTTAAAACAGGTTTGTTAAAGAAGAATAAAATGAGAAGATGACCCTCTGCAAGCCTTCAGCTCTGCTCTAATGCCGCCAAGGCATGCTGGCGGCTGTACTCGAAGATTCCCAGCGCGCCGCTCACGTGCACGTTGAGCGACCTGCAACACGGCATATGGAATGGCAAGCATTGTCCGGAAAACTGCTCCCAAGTTTCAGGCAGCCCAGCCCAACAAAGCGGCCTGCTGGCACAGCAGGGCAGGGCAGGGCAGGGCAGGGCAGGGCAGGGCAGGGCAGGGATGTGGCAGCTTGCCTGATGACCCCCAGCTGCGGTATCTCCACGCTGTGGTCCAGCAGGCCCAGCAGGGCAGAAGGGATGCCCTCCTTCTCCCGCCCCAGCACCAGAACCGTGCGCCGCGGGAAACGGAAGTCCTGCGGTGCGGCGGCAGGCGCAGGAGGGGCATGGGCTGGTCGGTGGTGGTGCGGCCGATGACCGAATCCCACAAATGAACGCTGCAATCACTTCCAGCTGAGCTGGGCTGCCTCAACCTGTAGCTGCACTGACTCTGTGCTCTGCTCCAGCCCCACCAACGTCCACCCCTGGGCCGCCTGCCGCTGCAGCCAGGCGGCCAGCATCGCCTCTGCAGGCCAGCGCAGGGTGCGGCGAGGCAGTGAGGCGCATGCCGCAGCCTGTGGCAGGCGCATGGCATGTCCTGTTTGACTGGGGAGCCGCCAGCTCCTGCCAGGCGTCGCACCTGGGACCTCAATGAGCGGCAGCCAGAGGTGGGCGGAGACGGCTATGCTCTTAAACTCTGGCAGCCGAGTGACGGCCAGGCCTGGCAACACGAGACCGCTGGCCCTGCAAGCAAGCAGGTGGGCAAGCAGGCAGGCAGGCAGGCAAGCCAACAGGCGATACACACCGTCAGCACGGCGGGACGAGTGCCCTCTGTCACAGCATTCCAATGGACACCTCGTGGATCACCCAGGCAGGCATAGGGAAAGGAAGGGAGGCTGGTGCCGGGGCTCAGCAGTCACCTGAACACCTCACAGGTGCGTGCCAGCCCTGCGAGGTTGGGTGCCTTGGTGAGCAGGGAGGCAACAACAAGCAGCTCCTGCCGAGGTCCGCTCCGGCTGCCAGACGTCGCCTCCTCCGCTGCGGCAAGCTCCAGCTCAGCGCCATCCAGGCTGCCGCCCAGCAGCGCAGGGGTGCCCAGGGCAGCAGCCCAGGCGCCTGCGCACGCCGGCCCGCCACCCCCGCCCTTCTTTTGCCAGTTGCTGGTGCTGGCGCTGGCGCATTGTTGATGTGTCGGCTGGAGGCGTGGCGAGGGACCCGCCAGCTCAGCCGTGGCTGTCGCTACCTGCAAGCAGCGCCCAGGCAGGGCCAGTCCTCAACGAAGATGCACCAGATGCAGGCAGAAGCCGGCAAAGGTTCATGCAGCGGCCTGGCTGATGGGCGGGCAAGCCGCACCTTGCCCTGCCTCAGGTCTTGCCTCAGCAGCTGGCGTTCGACAGACAGGAAGCTCTGAACCTCCTCCAGCAGTGGCTGCAGTGAGAAACACAAGGGGAAGGATTGTGTGTTAGTGTGAGGGTAGGCTGAAGGTTGGTGCCTCCTCAGGAAGAACAGCAAGGGCCGAGTGACTCGGCGGCTCCTGCCCTGCCTGCGGAGCTCCCTCAAAAGCAGCATCCGCTCGATGGACGCTGGTGCCCTGCAGGCAGACGAGCAGGCCAACGTGCAGCATCAGGTGGCATGCGCATACATCTCTACAGGGCACACACTGCACACACTGCACCCGCCTTGCAGAGTATGCCAGCGGGCGTGACAGCTTGCGCCAGGTCAAACGAGTCAAAGTAGAAAGCCTGGCTCAGTCCTCGGCGCAGGCGGTTCACGTCCTCGTTCTCCCTGCTAGCAGCAGCAGCAACGGCCCCACCCGGTAGCGACAGGAGTGGGTGAATGAGCAGGCAAGGCAGGCGCCAAACGCTCGTGCACGCACGCAAGCGCGGCGTGAGACCGAGGCACCGGGCAGGAGGCAGGGGGGCACGCAGCAGCGTCCCTGCGTGCTTGCCTGAAGAAGCGCAGCAGGGATGCGGCGGTGGCATCTGTGGCGGCGAGGGAGGGGAAGAGCTCATGCAGGCGCCAGAGAATGAGCTGCGCAAAAGTTCTGCAGAGGAGAGGCAGGTCCTGGCTGTAAGCGGGTGCTGACAGCACCCTGGCAGCTGCAGGTGACTAGTAGTGGGCCGCCTGCAAGGCTGGGTGGGCGGCACGCACACCTGAGGGCATGGACGTGGGAAAGGCTCCAAGGTGTGATGCTCCCGACCACCTCTGCCAGCAGGGCGCCCTGCGACTCGCCCGGCTGCGCCTGCCCAGCAGCGCTGCCTTCGGGCCGCAGCTCCGCGGCTGCCGCTCGTGCGGCGATGAGGATAAGGGAGGAGAGGGCGAAGCTGGCGCTGCTGCAGCAGTCGCGCAGCGCGGGCAGTACGTGGGAGCGCAGCAGGGCGGGGCGTCGATGCAGCAGTACGCTGGCACATGCGTCCTGGTACTGCTTCACGTTGGCCATGTCGGCTCGGCTCAGTGCCCCCAGCACAGCCTCAAAATCTGCAGGTATTATAGAAAGTGCAGGGAGGTGAGGGTGCCGCAGAAGCAGAAGAGGCACGGGAGAAAGGCAGGGAGCGGCGTGGTGCCCAAGAGGAACAGGGCAGCACAGCAACATGGACAAGGTGAGGGCAGGCGGCTCACCTTGGTCGGCTTGCTCAGCGGGCACGAGCGGGCTCAGCACGCACAGCGCCTGCCACAGCCGCACCTACGGTGACGCGGGCAGCATGAGACGAGTGAGCGGTGTGCTCTGGCTCCCACGCTGCCTCTCCAATCCGTCAGAAGCCCTGCTCACCTTCTTCCTGTGCACTTTCCCCAGATCGGTGCACCTCGCAGCACTCAGCTCCGGATCAGAGGCAGACAGGTCCAGCAGCTGGCCCCACAGCAGCAGCCCCGCCTCTCGTGCCGGCGCCGCGCTGGCTATCGTGCTGGCGCGGGCCTCAGCCTCGGCCTGCTGTACCCAAGACCACAGCATGCACAGCGCAGCCACACGTGGCGCCAGCTTGGTGGCCTCGAAAGCCTCTGCCAGATGGGCGTCGCCTGGCGCTATCAGGGCAGCCAGTTCCGCAGCTGTCTCGCCATCCACTGCGTCCCCCTGCAGCCAGAGGCATAAGAGGCATCACAATGACATTGCTGAATGCTATTTCAGCAGCTTGCCAACACTCAAACACAGACAACTGGTTCAGCAGAGGCAGCAACGGTGCAGGGTGGGCAGGTCAGGGTGCAAAGGCAGCGCACACACCTCTCCGCTCTGGCCGGGATCCTCGGCCGAGCCCCACAGCAGCAGCTGCTGGAGGGTGGCGCTGTACTGAGTCGCCAGCTCAGCGTGGCGGGTCAGCAGCCCGCAGAGCTGCAGCAAGAGGAGCGGGGGAGAATCAAAATGGCACAGTGGAGTGGCTGGCCCGGCCCCTGCCACCCGCACTGGTCATGGCTGGCACCAGCGCCAGGCGGCAAGCGCAGTCAGCTGCAGCTGCCCACCTGCAGAGACACGGTGCTCATAGATCGCCAGCTCCGGGACCCCGCATCAAGCAGCCGCAGCACAAGCTGCTGCAGGGGTGCGCCAGCCGCGTGCAGCTCCCGCCTGCGCTTGGGCGTGCAAGCAGGGGGAGCAACGTGCAGGGCGGTCTGGCTTCAGGCCCAGCATCGCAGCGGGGTTGGAGGCACGTGAGGGGCGTGGGGAGGGTGCAAGCCTGGCTGCTGATGCCAGGGGCAGCAGCAGCACCTGGCTGGGTCGGCAGAGGCATCAAAGAGCGCCGGGTGAAGGCAGGTGGCCACCAGCGCCGCGGTGAGGCCCGTCCGCCGCCGCCTGGACCCCGTTGCAGTGCCCTCGTAGGCGCGCCAGGCTGCGGAGCATAGCCACCCCACCAGCGCTGCCATCCCCTCGCTACTGCCACCACCGCTCGCCGTCAAGTCCCGCGGCTGCCGATAGGATAGTGCCAGATGCAGCACCCGCGGCTGCTCCAGAGCCGCGGGCAGCAGCAGCCGGCAGCAGCGCAGCTGCAGCAGCAGGCGGCGGGGGTCGGCTGCAGGCCCAGTGATGCCAGCCTCTGCCTCGAGTGAGCGCAGAGCAACAGCTAGCAGTGATCCCTGCTGCTCCTCCCAGCGCTGCTGCTGATAGGCATCCTGCGGCTGCTCTGCCGCCAGCTGCTGGCACACACCCAGCAAGCCCACCGCTGCCTTCCAGCACAGGCGGTGGCAGAATGCCGCTGCCGCAGCATCACTGCTGCTTGTAGCTGCTGCTGCTGCTTGGTGCTTGCCTCCTGGTGCCGGCACAGCTGGGGCCGCTATTGTTGCAGCTGCCGCGGCGGCTTGGAGGGAGAGAACTGATCCCAGGGCCGCCGATGCCGCTTCTGCTGCAGCACCTGCCAAGCTCTGCTGCTGCTGGTGCCCCTCCAGTGCCCTCGCCAGGGCACGGCAGCATTCGGCCAGCGGTGCCAGCTGTGAAGCGGCCCGCTGCCAGCCTGCTGCACAAGCAGGCTGAACATGCTGCTCATCTCTGCCCTGGCAAGCCGCCGCAAAGCAGCGCAGCACTTCTAGGCAGCACCGCGCCAGCTGGCCCACTGCCGCGTCCGCAGCGCCAGTCACCTGCTGCCGCCGCCAGGAGAGCAGCATGCCTAGGCTGCTGCTCATGCAGCGTAGAGACAGCAGAGCCGGCCTGCTGTCCTGCTGGCCAGTACTGCCCCCCAGCTCCTGCTGCTCCATAGGCGACCACAGCAAGGCTGCCGCCAACATGCTAGAATAGCTGGCCAGCTCGTCGGCAATGCAGCAGAGTGTTGCTGCTAGGCAATGCACCAGCGGATACTGGGAAGGAAGCTGCTGGCGGTGCCGCTCAGGCATCCTTTCCAGCTGCTGCTGCTGCTGCTGCTGTGTCGTCGTTGCTGCTCCAGATGCCAGCGGCGAGCAGATGGCCAGCAGCTGGCTGAGCAGCAGCAGGCAGCGCTCGGCTGTGCCGCGGGGGAGGTAGGGCCTGCGGCAGGACAGTGGCGAGCGGTGAGAAGGGCTTCAGGTCTTTGCTGGGCACATTCGAGAGGTGCAGGAGGCACAAGCTCATCGTGAAGTCACCTGCGGTGGATCATGCCGAGAGTATTCGCCCAGCTGGAAAGCGCTGGCGCCAGGTGATCAGGGGGAGTTGCGTCTGAGCCAGCGCTGCTGCCTGGCGACGCAAGCAGCAGCGCCAACTGTGCCAGGCCGCCAGCCTGGACCTCCCAGCCATCCCGTGGCGCCGCATCAGGAGCGGCTGCTGCTGCCAGGTAGTCGCGTACGCAGCTGGCAAGCGTTGCCAGCCGCTGCTGCTGCCCGCCAGCCTGCAGCCAGTGGGCGGCTGGCAGGTGCAAGGCTCCGCCGGGCAGCAGCAGCGGCAGCGGCAGCTGCGAGAGCCAGGTGCCTATTGCGAGGAGCAGTGTCCTGCTGCCGCTGCCGCTGCTGTCGTCGTCGCCACGAATGTCGGAAAGGGGCACGGCCGCCGCTGCCGCCTGCACCAGACTGCTGCACATGTCAGCAGCGTACGCGCTGCTGGCGCCTTCGCTACCCCAGCTGCTGCTCAGGCTGGCAGTGGCCCGCTGCAGGCGCTGCAAGAACAGCAGCCGCCACTCGTGCGCTTGCCGCTCCTCTGAGCTACTGCCGTCTGTCGGCCTGGCTGCTGCTGTGGCTGCGGCCACGGCCTGGCTTGAGGCAACCAGCGCTGCGGCCACGGTCTGGGCCAGCGGCCGCAGCACCTGCTGCTGCTTCTGCTGGCTGCCGCCAGCAGCGCCACCCAGCTGGTCGAGAAGGGCGATCAACAGCTGCCGCTGCTGCTCCTGCCCCAGGGCAGCGGCGGAGTAGCGCCCAACCCAAGCGGACACCTGCTGCTGGAGGGCGGCTGCCCCCTCCCCACGCCACATGTGCGCCTGGCCGGCCGCTGGCAGCAACACCTCCAATACGAACGGTGTCGGCACATCAGCAAGCAGCGACGGCTGCCCTGCCGCTGCCTCCGCACCCTGTCCCTCCACATGCCAGCGCCAGCCCAAGAAGCTTTCCAGCACGAGGCGCTGCACCTGCAAGCACCCAGCCGTGCAGTGGCAGCGCAGCTTGTGACAGACGTGGCGCCAGCAAATGAGGCGTGGGGAGGGTAGGCTGAAAGGGATGCTAGCGTTGGCAGCGGAATCGCAGTGCAGGGAAAAAAGCGTGGCCCGGCTGCTGGCGCTTGCCGGGCACCACTTGCCTGCTGGTGCTCGTGCTGCAAGCCGCGGTTCCACAGCACCGCCATCCACGGCCAGGCCAGCCCACTGCCAGGTGTGGTGCCAGCTGCATCTGGCGATGCCGCCGCGGGACTCAGCCTGTCGATTTCGGCCCAACCATCCTGCACCAGTGGCAGGTCAGAGGGTGGATGTGATGCTGCTAGGCAGCTCGAAGATGGAGAAGGGTGCCGACTGGTCAAGAAGGATTTGATTTGACACTATCTTATGACAAGTAAAACAAGTGCAACCGGATGCCAAAGCTGGCCACTGCTTGCCTTAACCAGGTGCGGCGCCCGTTCATCCAGGCAGTCCAGAAGCTTGAAGAAAGACTGCCAGGCCGGCGCCAGCTGGCCTGCATGTTGAGTGGCTGGTGGAAGAATTCAACCAACAGGGTTGTTCAATTTCGGAGCAGGAGCAGGACGGAACGCACCGTGGGCCTCCTGCTGCTGCACCGCGAAAGCCAGCACATGGGCTGCCCGCTTGCGGTTGGCGGCCTCGCCGTCGCACAGGCAGCTGCGCAGCAGCGGCCAGAATTGATCTGCACTGCCCTCCTCTGTGCCACCCGGGCCATCACTAGGACTGACAGGGCCTTCCGGTGGGCGCACTGCGCGTGCCAGAAGAGGAGAGGGCAGCTGCACCAGGAGGGCCAGCCCCAGCTGCCGCTGCCGCCCCTGCCCCGCCAGCATCTGCCTGCACGCATCTTGCAGCAGCTGCACAGCCGCCGCCTCCTCGCCCTGCTGCGCCGCTGCCGCGAGCGTAGCTGGCAGTAGGTGCTGCGCTGCTGCCCTTGTTAAGCGTCCCTCGGCTGCCTGCTGCTCCTGCCGCCGCTGCCTGGTCTGTGCATGCAGCTGCCTATGAGGCTTAGCCAGCAGATGGGCTAGCACCTCTGGCAGGGTGTGCCGGGCAGCATGTCGCAAGATGGCGCATGGCCCCTGCTGCATCTGCTCATCCACCGCTGTCGGCTGCTCAGACTGCGTCTGCTGCTGGCCTTCGGCCGCTCGCAGCGCCTGCTGCACGACTGCTGCCGCCAGCTGCATGCGCAGTCCTGGGGGCAGCACACGCGCGGCCGCTGCTCCTGATGCCAAGACGCGGTCCGCCTGCTGTATCCCCGGATCTGGCTGCTGCTGCTCGCCTGCAATTGCTGCCTGAACCAAGGCCATCCCTAGGTCCCAGCCGCCACATGCTGCTACCAGCTCCGCCACTGCCCGCAACAGCTCCTGTTGCCTGACTGACGCCGCTGCAGATGCTGGTGGCAACACCTCGGCTGATGCTGGTGTGCCTGAAGCGGCATGCAGATCGCTGGCCATCATAGGCAGCAGCAACTGCGTGATGGCTGCCGCAGCATGGGTGCAGGCGCTGTCTCTTTCCAAGCCGCATTGCAAGCCATTGGCAGCCTGCTGGGTTGCCGCCTGCCGCAACAGAACCACTGCCGCCGCCGCGAGCGGCCACAGCAGTTGCGCCGCCTCTGCATCGAGCATCTGGCCAGCGCTGTGCTCCGGAGCCAGGCGCAGCACTGCCGCCAGCTGCTGGCCAGGTGGCAGGGCCTGTGTGACGACAGCCAGTGCCGCCGCCGCAAGCTGCCCCGCCGCCACCAGGTCGAGACCGAGGCATGGAGGCGCCACCGCGCGTATGGCCCGCTCTACACCATCAAGGCGTCCCGGCGACATTACACAACACGCGCCTGGGCCCAACGCTTCAACTCCTTGCGATGAAATGGGACACGAACACTAAAGTGGCCACTGAACGGCCATAAAATGACATCAAGAACACACGAGCGTGATCTGATGGTTGCATTTGCGAATCTATTGAAATAGACGCCGCCGACCGAGCACAGCACGGAGCAGCACGCCGACCGGCGCCGGCCCAGCAGCACGTTCCATGTCCAGCAATGTGCTGGACAACTCGCGCGTCTTCTTGCTGATCACTTTTGCATCCAGGCACTTACACAACAGCAATGTATTCAATGCTGTGCTGTGCGCGCTAGCAGTGTTTACTGGCCCTCACTCGACTTCCCTTTCGTGCCCCCCTGCTGCGCATGCTTGACGTACTCCCGAACCAGTCCTCGGACGCTGCTGCCCTCAGCCACCAGGAAATCAGCTGAGGTGGCGCCAGCATGCCGCTGCATTACCTTGCCGACGCACTTGGAGCACACTGCAGGCGTGGGCCAGATGGGCAGATCAGGGGCGGGAGCTAGGCAGGCACGATGGCAATGCCCTTGCGGACCAGCCACCAAACTGCCGAAAAATAGCTCTGAGAAAGGCATGGCAGCACTGCAATAGAAACAATCGGCTGAAAACATGAACAGAAACAGCAACCATCCGGGCTCACCCATGTCATGCATCTGCTGGCTGATCTGCTGCCTCTTCAGGAGCGGATGGAGCTCTGCCAACACAAACAGCTCCACCTGGTGGGCGATGGCGCTGGATGCCGCACGCCCCGCTCCCTGTTGCGCTGGGGCCACAGCTGCCAGCGAGGTATGTTGAGCCGAGGCGGCTGCCTGATCCACAGCTGCTTTGCCTGGCTGGGCTGCTTCTAAGGGCACGGCGTCTCCCAACGCTGCTGCTTCTAAAGGTGCGTCTCCCAATGCTGCTGCCGCCCCTGCACCTGCCTGCGCTGCTGGTGGCAGGGCCATACATGCCAAGGAGTCCTCGTCGGCTTGCTGCTGCTGGTTGGCTGGAGATCCGGGCAGTCCTACCGGCAGCACTGGCAGAGGCTGGAAGTCCCGACTTCCCAGCAAGGTCTTTGCCGACGTGCATGCCGCGGTGGTGGTGGTGGTGGCGGCACTAGGCCCGGCTGCAGCGCCGCCCCTGGCAGAAGCTGTCCCACCTGGTCGCTCGCCCCCTGCTACCGACGGGGCCTCCCCATTGCCTTGAGCACCTGCTGTGCCTGCGCCCATGCCTGCGCCTGCTACTGCTGCGGTGCCCTCGTCGCCAGTGTCCGGCGCTGCAGCTCCCCAGTCTATCTCCACCTCCTCTAGCTGGGCAGGCGGCGCCTTGCCGGCAGGGCGCCCTCTGCCACTGGCCGCATCCTGCTGCTGCTGTTCTCGCTGTTCCCGCTGCCGGCCACCCTGCTTCTCTGTGCTTGGCAGTCGTTCACGTTCCTGCTGCTCCTCCCTAGGCTGCGCCTGCTGCTCGTCCCGCTCCTGCTGCTGCTGCTGCTGCTGCTGCTGTTGCTGCGTCTGCTGCTGCTGCTGCGTCGATGCCTGCTTTGCAGGCTGCTGCGGCAGCTGCGGCCCCTGTTCGTTGCCCGGCTGAGCCGGCTGCCATTGGGCGGCGCTGGTGCGTGCCGCCAGGTTTTGGTACACCTGCGCGCTGCCGCAGCGGCCATACAGCTCCAGCTCTTGAGCCTGGGACGCCTCAAAAGCCGCCCTCCTGCATGCAGCAGCAGCGCACCGGGAGGTGCCCAGGCAGCAGCAAAAATCAAGTGGGTGCGGAGCAGCCGCAGCTCAACAACACTTGCAGCCAGCTGCGCGCCCACGGCTTGCCTGAGCTCGGCGTCTGCCACCGCTGCCGGCGGGCGCAGCGGTGGGCGCCGGCGCAGGGCCGCCAGCGCCAAGTGCTCGCCGGCAAGCTTGTTCAGCACGGTCTGCCTGCGGCCCAGTCAGCGGCAGCGTGCTGGGACTATTCCTATCTATCCTAAAAAGCTCTACCAAGGCTGCGGCCAGTCACGCTGAAGTGGGCAGCAGCCCTGCACAGTCGATGCTTCCTGCCTGGCGCCCACCTACCTGTTGATGCGAGGGATCTTGCTGCGGGGAAGGTAGGCCGCCAGAGGCCGCTGCTTCACATCCACGGCAGCCAGATACTCGGGCCCGCGCTTGGCGGCAAAGGCGGCGGCCGCAGCAACGGGGTCTGCAGGCCAGGCAGGGTTGGATGGGGCTGCCGCTCAAGAACATGGAGGTTGCCTGCAAAGGGGAGGTTGCTAGCTCTGGCCGGTCTGGCGGCGGGCAAAGCAAGTCGCTGGGTCTCGCCTTGCCGCTGCCGCTTCTGCGCTCTGGCAGCCTCTGCCTCCTCCTCCTCCTCCTCCTGGCGCATGGCATGCTGCAGAATGAGCGCCTTGGCATTGAGGCCAAACTTGGGCGCCTGCGGGCGGGGGCGGCAGCGGGCGGCGGCGGCGCGCATCCGTCCCGAGGTCTGCATTGCGCGGTGCAGAGATCATGCTGCAGGTGAGGTGTATTGGGCATACCTGAGTAGCCTGCTCGAGCAGGTCTTCCTCTTTCACCTCGCCCATGGGCCAGCGCTCAGCGATCGCCGCGACCTAGCCCTCAGCTGCGACCCAGTAATTTCATTATTTCTTTATCTGCATCGAAGAGTTTTGTTTGCGGGCAGCGCTGCGTGACAAAGAACCCTGGTGCGCTGGCGGCTGATGCCCACACGGAAGCAAGGCTTCCTTGATTGCCTCTGCCTAGTCCCCTCGCGTGTCACAGTTGCCGGCAGCTCTTTGCCCTGTCCCTAAGGTCCCAGTGCCCGCCGATCACCCCCGCTCTCTCAACATGGTGCTGAAGTTGCTCCTCAGCCTCATCCCCACCTATGGGAACATCTGCAGGTGTGTATAGCACAGACAACGCGCCCGGCGAAGGGCCCTTCCCCGGAGCCTTCTGTCTGCTTGCTCCAGCGCGCTTCTGGCGCCGCCGGCACGCTGTTGAGCCAGTGGCCTGTCCCCAAGCGTGGCGCCGGTCTTGCCACCCTGCCCCCTCGCCCATCCCTGGTTCGATTCCCGGGGGCCGCCGCCGCCCTTGCCCCTTGGACTTGCCGGCAGCCCTGTCCCCGGCCTGATGAAAGGTGGATTGCTCTGCACCGGGCATGCAGGCTGGCCGCGCTGCTGGTGGGCCTGGTGCTGCCCACCTTCAAGAGCTTTGAGGCGATTGAGAGCCGGGTGCTGGACGACGACAAGCAGGTGGGGCGCCCCGCTGGGCTGGTGTGCCCCGCAAGCCGGCGCTGTGGCCTTTGCTGCCGGTGGGCCTCAACCTGCGCCCCGTGCATCAGACTCGCTGCGGCGGCTGCTGCGCTCTTGCTTTTGCTGTCGGCGCGGTAAGCCAGCGGGCTTTGGCGCCCATGCGTGCCACCCCGGCCTGGCCTCACCCCCACATCCCCTGCTGCTGCTCCCTCTGCAGTGGCTGACCTACTGGGTGAGCTGCGGCATGGCTGGCGCGCAGGGATGAGAATCTGTGTGCATTTGCGGGCGTGCGGGAGAGGCGGGGCATCCAGTCGCCTGGCCTCTTGTCACCCTGCAGGTATGCTACGCTACGCTGCTCTCTCTGGAGACGGTGGCCTGGTCTTTCCTCATCTGGTGAGCAGCCGCTGCCAGGCGCCTGGCAAGGTCCAAACCTCAGCCAGCAGAGCAGCTGACAGTGCCAGGTCCAGGCTGCACAGCTCGATGCTGTGGGGGACGGTACTGACGCCAGCGGTTGGTGGGTCCTCCCTGCTGTTGCCGCATGCCTGCTGCATGCCGCGGTGCTCACCCGCTGCCCGCACGGCTGCCTGCCTGGCTGCGCTGCCTGCAGGATTCCCTTTTACCGCATGATCCGCGTGGCCCTGCTGGCATGGCTGGCGCTGCCGCAGTTTGCGGTGGGTGCAGTGCAGTCCTTGTGGGGGGCGTGCCGCGCAGCTGGTGTGGGCCCAGCCGTTGTGTGCAACAGGAGGCCGGGTGGCTGGCACAACATGTGCCGCAGCATGGCGCCCTTGCAGCTCGCCACGGCGTCAAGCAGCGGGAATTTGCCTGCTGTTGCGCGCTTGGGGGCCAGGGCGCAACGGGCATGCGCCCACCCGTGCCTTGCATGCCGCGCCCGCCCCGCAGGGTGCCGCGTTTGTGTACGAGGAGTTTGTGCGCCCCTTCCTGCTGGTGGCTGTGGCCAAGGCCAGGGAGGTGCCCAGCCTGGAACCCTACGTGGCGCGCTTCGCCGCCAGCGCAGCCAAGGTGCGTGGCTGTGTGGAGGGTGCGGGCGGGGATGTGTTGGTGGGAGGGAGGCGGCGGGCACCAGGGCGAGGAGGGCAGGGTGGGCCCCGCCTGCGTTGCACCAGGGAGGATTCGCTGGATGAGAGTCAGGGGTTGGGATCGGCAGGCAAACTTCCATCTGCCGCTGCCAGCCTGCCTCTTGGTGGCGCAGCTGCCTGCGTAGACAGTGTGTCGCTGTTCTGTGCAGCACCCCAGCACGAGCTCGGAGGCTCCTAGCGCCGCCGCCGCGCCCCCGCCCGCCGTGGTGTGTGGCTTGCCCGCTCTCCGCCCTGCGTTTTGCTGAACCCGCGGCAGCTGCCGGGGAAGCTGGCCGCAGACTGTGCTGTGGCCCACACGAGCTGTTTGGGTGGCTGCCTGGCCAGCCCAGCCCTCCCCCTCGGCCCACTCTGCTGCACCTTGTGCTGGTTGCTGCTGCTGCCCCAGCTGCGCTGCCCACCGCGCAGCTCTCTACATGAGGCAGGCCCGCCCGCAGGCCCACACTGCTGCCGCTGCCTTCCCCCAGCCCACTCGCCCACCTTCTTGCAAACCCGCCACGCTGCGCCGACATGGCCTTTTTGCTGCTTCTGGTGCGCCCGCCTGGCTGCAGGACTACGATGCCCTGAAGCGTGAGGCTGTGGCCAAGGTGGAGGAGAGTTTTGAGAAGGCCAAGCAGCAGGCCGCCAGGTGGGCTGGGCGCACATGCGGCTGTGTGTGCATCTGTGTTGTGGCCAGCTACCTTTACCCACCGCGGTGAAGGCGCTTCGGCCGGTGGAGGCAGGGAGCATGGTGCTTCCTACGACTGGTTGGAAACTGTGCTGAGATGTCGCTGCCTTTGCTGTGGTGCAGCCCCGAGGGGGAGGAGGATGAGAGCCCTACCTTCCAGCCCCTGAAGGCGCATGCCCAGTGAATGGGCCGCCACCGGGCGGACTGAGCAGACGGCCAGGGTTGTATGGGCGAGGCAGTTGGCTGGCTCCATGGCAGCCACACCACGCTGCTGGCAAACGCAGCAGCTTTGCTTTTTGATGGGCGCCTCGCGCCCTTCCATCCCCTCTCGCTTCCACACTGCACCGCTGGCTTGCAAGCCCCCCAGCCGCTGAGTAGCACAGCGACTTGTGTTGTACAGTAGGCGAGCTGCAGACGCCGCCTTGCAGTCTCTCGCAGGCACTCCGGTGCCCCATTCTTGATTTGGTTTCTACTAGTTCTCTTCTTGGTCAAACCTTCTTGCAACAACTCACACAGCGTCTAGGGCTGTAGGAGGGTCAGCCCCTTCCACAGGCTGTAAACCAAGGCACCCCTCGTGCATGCCAGAGCAGCTTGGCCATCCACCTGTCTCGTCAAGTGTGTGCCTTGCATTGCTGTGGTGTGCTGCATTGCTGGACAAGTGCATGCGGCAAGCACCAGATCAACGGTCAGCAAACAAGCTCACAATACAAAAATGGGGTGGTGCAACGATGAGAGGCAAGTGCGGCAAGGAGTCGGTGTTGAGGGCCGAGCAGTCTGATCAGGAAAGCGCCCAGAGCTGCCTGGGTCATTCTGCCCGAGGCAGGTTGTTTGCAATCAGATCGTGTTCGACAGAGCAGAGGGGAGGAGAGAGAAAAGAATGGGTGGCACACACGCGCCCTCAACTAATGGTGCAAAGCAAGGGGGGGAGAGCAGGAGGGGGCGATGCCGGATAGCTAATCTACCTGGCGAGAGCCAGCAAATCTAACTTGGGAGCAAGGGAAGAGGCAACTGCAACGCTCACGCACATGGCGTCACGGCACGGGCTCATGAGGTGTGTCTCTGGTGGCGTCGCCGCCGCTTGCCGCCGTCGGCGATCAGCTGCTGTTGGGCCACGCTGTCCTTGAGCAGCTGGCCCACCTGCTTGCGAAGGCCGGCCTTCTTGCGCCGCCCAGCATCGCTGCGGTCCACCGCCGCCATCTGAAGCGCCAGCTCCGTTTCGCTGACCTTGCCGCCGCGGCGGCCCAGCCGGCGGTTGGCGCCGCCGCCGCCGCCGCGCCGCACCAGCGGCAGCCCCGTCCCCAGGTGGCGGCTGGAGGAGATGCCAGTTGCAATCAGCACAAAGCCGGCGGCGGCCGTGGCCAGCAGCAGCAGGGCCAGCAGGCGGCGGCTGCGGGCGGCGGGGTCTTGGGGCAGGAGGCGCTGCAAGCAGGCACAGCAGAGGAGCGGCGGGCGGGCGTTGTGAATGTAGTGAGCATGGTGCAGGGCAGCACCCTGTGGGCAAACCCTCAGCAACAACGCCCAGCGGCCTGTGCTGAAAACAAAAACAAATCATCCGTCCCGCCCACCTTGAGAGTGCGCTGCCAGCACAGGTGCAGCTTGCGCACGTCCAGCGCCCGCCCATACATGAACACAGACAGCAGCACCAGCGCCACGCCCAGCAGGAAGACGGGGCTGGGCCACTGCAGCGCGGCATGGAGGCAGCCACAGGGCCAAGCCTGGCGAGGTCGGCGGGGCGATGCATGCCGGGCCGGCTCCCTGTTGCGCCGCTGCTGTGCGCATCGCAGCCACCCCCCACACTCTGTATAGAACTGCAACTGCTATGCAGTTCTCAGGCGCACGCGCTGTATGCGCCACCTGCCACCCGCAGATTGGCACAGGCCGCACCTGGCCGAACAGCGGGATGGCGACCAGCACTGTGAGGATGACGGAGATGGCGAGGGCAAAGTTTTTGAGGATGTTGTCGCAGTACTTGACCACCATGCCCGTCACCAGCCCGCCAAACACCTGCAGGGCACGGGGAGCGTGGCGGGCGCGTGGAGGGAGTGCGACAGGCACCGGCATGGCTGGCGCCAAGCCGAGCCGGACAGGACCGGCGCCAGCGTGGACGGGATGGCGGGCAGAGGGTGCGGCACCTGCAGCGCCACCACCATCCAGGTGGCCGCATCAAAGCCCTGCATCACGCCGCCCTGCCGTATGCGCCAGCCATCCTTGAGCAGGGCGTAGGCGGTGCTGCGGGGCGGCAGAGGCAGTTGAGGCGGGCAGACCGGTGAGCAGCCATCGAGGCAAGGCAGACACTTGACAGGGGACAGGGGATAGCGCAGGCAGGCTGCCGGGGCACGCACCCGGAAAGCCAGCCGGCGTGCCGGGCAGCCACACATCATTGAAGGTGCCATTGAACCGGCTGCGCACCGCAGAGGCCCCACCTGAGCGGCACTCCAAACATGCCCAGCTGTATGTTGCGGACCCACAGGCTGGCCGCGTGCCGCCCCTTGACAAACTTCTCAAAGTAGACGCCCGCATAGGCGGAGGACAGGCCCGACACCGAGCAGGCCACCATGCCCGTCACGTAGTCCAGCCCGCTGCTGCTGCTGCTCACCGCCGCCGCCGCCGCCGACTGGTGCGCGCTGTGGCTGCCGTTGTTCACCGTCACCAGCACCACGCCCACTGCCAGCACGGGGATAGAGGCCCACTGCGGGGCGGGGAGGGGCAGGGAGGCAGCAGGGGTAAGGCAGAGGGCAGGAAGGAGCGGGGCGGAATGCAGGGGGCGCGGCGAGGCCGCATCATAGGCGCCACTGGCCAGCTGGCAGCAGCCGAATGGCGGCAGCACGGCGGCGCGCAGGCTGCCGGCCAGTCAGGGGCGGCCGCCGCGGCCGCCGCGCTTGCCTGCATCGGTTCCAGCATCTGCCCCAGCAGCCAGTAGGCGAAGAGCGCGGTGGGCACCAGCTTGAAGGATTGGCTGAAGATCTGGAAGGCCACTGCGTCGAGGTGGGTGGCCGCCACAATCAGCAGCACCTGCGCCACAGAGCACAGCAGGTGGCCAGGTGGGTGGTCGGCGCTGGAGCCATGGGCCGTAGAAAGCGCGCAAGTGCCAGGTCGACGCTGGCTGGCAGCCTGTAGGCACGAGGAGCCTGTAGGCACGAGGAGCCCGCCGCTCCCCCATCCAGCCCACCCAAACACCCAAACACACACGCGCCACTCGCCTGCTGCATCACAAACATGGCGGCCGGCAGCAGCATGGGCAGCGACTGCGCCGTGATGTCTCGGGCCTGGCGCCTGAGCTCGCGCCACAGCGCCGCCTGCTGGCTGCTGGCCCCGCTGCCGCCGCCGCCGCCGCCGTTGGTCTTGCCGCCGGCCGGGCCGGCGGCCGCCACGTCAGCGCTGACCACTCTGAACTGCATCGTCAGGCAGATGAGCAGCTTGATGACCTCGGTGAAGATCACTGCAGCAGGGGGAGGAGGGAGGGGCACGCGTGGAGCCGCGTGCAGTCAGCAGCGACGCCATGGGACAGCCCCGCAGTCCGCTGGCGACCTGGCGGGCGGCCCTGGCCTCACCAGACACGGAAGCCAGGTAGGGCTGGCCCTCGCGTGCGCGCGAGTAGCGCAGCATGATGGACAGAGCCGTGCCCTGGAAGACCAGCAGCAGCATGGACAGCAGCGCGAGGCGGCCATTGCGGCGCAGGGTGGTGGGCGAGGTGGGCGTGAGCAGCGTGCCGTTGCCCTGCCCCGAGCCAGCCACGCCCGCCTCCTCGTCCACGCCGACCAGCTGCTGCGCCCCTTGGCCGAACTGGGCGTGGTGGTGGTGCCGCTGCGCCGCGCTCAGCATGCCCTCCTTCAGCTGCGGGTGGTACTGCTGCTGCTCCGCCACCACCTGCTGCGCCACCACCGGCGACGCGACGCCCGAGTGCGGCTCGCCATCAGCGTAGGCCTGGCCAGCTGCACGACGCCCGGGGAGCAGGCGCAGTGGTTGCAGGCCTGCGCCCAGGGTGGCCAGTTCGCCGCTGCCGCTGCGGCTGCCGCCGCCGTTGCCAGAATCGAGGTGCCGCGCGCCGTTGGCGTCAATCCTCACAAGGTGGTGCGTCCTCCCCTCCGCCATGCCGTTGAGAGGGGCAGCCTCAGCGCCCTCCGGGGCCCATTTACGGCTGAACGGTTGCTGCCTTCTAGAGTATGGGCTAGAGGCTTTCAGCTTGATAGATGCACGGCTCGATCAGCACGGTGGTGGCCCCCGGGCCACCAGCGGGCAAGTTGACAAGGGGGAACGAACCAAAGAGGTGATGGTGCTTTCGCGGGAGCTGGTGGAGGTGGAGTGATCGGGTGCAAGTTGTGGTGCTGTCAGCACCAGCGTAGGATTCAGTTTAGCGAGCCAGCACGCCACCTGGACTGTATTGCAGGCTGTTGTGCCAAACCTCCTGAACATGCCCTCCTGAAGCGCTGCTGCACCGATCTCTTCACCCAGAAGCGTGGCAGCCTGGAATCGATCTGCGCAGCCACGGATTCACTGCCGCTGACCTCCAAGGCAGCGCCAGCCCTCTCAGGCGGGCAGGCAGGGCACAAGGGAGGCCAATGCAGGGCCTACCCAGGCCCGAGGGAGCCCTGAGTGGGGCGACAGGAGGCGGGCAGTGCCCAGCAGGCACCGCCACCGGCGGTCCGCCCCCACCGCAGCCGCCGCCTGCCGCACTCAACCTTGAGCCAGCGGGCCAGCAGCCCAGCCCCACCCCAGCTGCAGGGCAGGCACAAGAGCAGGGCCCTGAGCCAATGGCGGTGCAGGGAAGAGTGCCGCTGCACAACACGCCCCCGGGAGGCAACGCAGCCGCAGCGTTGCCGCCGCCCAGCACAGCCCATCTCTCCCTGCGTGAACGGCCGCCACTGCCGCCCCCCTCGCGGCAGCAGCTCGGCCCGGCAGCCCCAATGCAAGCGCCAACGCGGGCGGCGGCAGGACCAGCAGATGCGGCAGGGGCAGCGGCGGCAGAGCCTGCGGGAGCGCCGGGCGGCGAGGGGGAAGGCGCGTGGGCACCCGCCGCCATGCCTCCCACGCGGGACGAGGTCGATGCACAGCTGGAGGAGCTGGGTGCTAGGCGGCTGTTTGAAAAGGTGGGAGCCAGCTCCTTCACCCGCTGGACAGCACCCAGAGTGTGCGCTCTCCACTTCCCAGGCCGGCAAAGGCTGCAAGTGCTAGTTAGCCATGCATCCAGCCAGCAGGCCCACCCCAACCCGTGCTGGCTACCCCTGCGCTCCAGGTGCTGAGCGCCACCGACGTGCGGGGCGGAGCGGTGCCCGGTGATCGTGTGGTGATGCCAAAGGTCTGCCTGCCGGCGCCCTACTTGCATGCGGCACTATGCTGCTTGCGTCGCTCCATGAGCGAGACTCGCCCCGTTGAAAGCATGCATCGGGTGCACGGGAAAACAACAAATGG